AAATGGTACAGTTGAATTTATACGTGATTTTTAGACAAGTGAATTAAATTGATCCTGAAATAATAAAATAATTGAAAATTTATGTAATACTTAGCGTTGAGATGGAGGCGAAATAACAGAAATAGCAGTTTCGGGAATAAGATTTACGGGCACAACAATAATGAAATCAAAAAGCAAGAAGATAAGTTTATTAAGCTTTGAATAGAATGTTGCACGAGTTTGTCCGAAAAATTCCCTTTTACAATGATAACTGAGCTCACTATTTATAGCTACGTTTAGAGAAGGGGGTCCTAGGATCGTACCCCTCTTTAATGTCAATTATGAGTGTCATTGATGAAGATGTAAGTGTGAACATTAATGCCAAATTTTCTGTAACGGGTAATCGTTCTTAATGCCACAGAATATTCTTTATTAAATGCTAGCGGGTAAAGAGTATTCATCACATCTTTATGATCGTTATTCTTTCTGGTGACAAACGGAATAATTGTCTTCGATCTTAGCCATCCCCCCATCTTGGATTCCACGTGTCCCTCTATTGGGTGGCCACGTGTCATAGCATATTTTACCTTATACAACTTTAGCTTAACAATTGCTAATTGACAATAACCAAGATCGTGTGTGTATATATATATATATATATATATATATATATATATATATATATATATATATATATATATATATATATATATATATATGATATCACCAAGTACTTACTCTACTTGAGCACAATCACGCTTTGTACACTAATCTCATTGATGATTGCGGGTCAACGATCCACCGGTTGGATGAGCCAATCATCCTACACTCGTACAAGAAGCAAAATCATATAGCAGATAGTTTAGCAAAACATGAAGCTCACATGCCCCTCGGAGGCAGCTTGGAACTTTTTGATGCACCACATCTCTTTGTCAGAAGTAGATCTAGAATTTTTATAACATGGGTGTATCACTAAAGAAAGGAGGGAAAAAAAGTATTAAGTGTGATTTATTTCCTGCTCCTCTAGGTAAATAATTCAGCATTTAACCAAGTGCATCATTTAGTCTCTTTGGAACATGGGTGCCCGTAGATAATATTAGACCAATTCTAAAGAATATGTACATAAATTACCTAATTTGGCAAAAAAATTATGAGTTCACATGCCCCATATATTTGCCTATAAATCCTCGACTGCTTTTTCTCACTTAGATGTAACAAGTTGACTATGTGGAGATTACCATAACAAGACTCGTTAATGCTTGTTTTTTTTTTGACAACACTCCCCTATTCCCTCCGTAAATCCACCAAAAGTACTAGTTCCTCCGTAGTTTTGTAGACATCTTTTGTTGTAATGAGCACCATAGGGGCGTAGACATATGTACTAATATCCAAAACTTAGTTGACTTATAGTATGTTTGGTCCAATGTCAAAAATATTTTTTTTAAATGTGTTTTTTTTTCTTTTCAAAGTTAAAGTGTTTTAACTTTTAGAGGACAAAAAAAATACTTTTGAGTAGAAGCATAGAAAAATAGTTTTTCCAAAAATATTTTTTGGGAAAAATACACTTATATGTACTTTTTAAAAGTTTGGCCAAGCACTAATTGCTACCCAGAATTATTTTTCAAATTAATTAGTCAAACACAAACTGTTTTCACTAAAAATATTTCTGAAAAAAATACTTTAAAAAAAAATATTTCTCAAAATAAACTAATTTTTGAGCTTGGCCAAACTCTCTATTAGTCACTATGGTGCCTATTGAACAACTGTGAAACCATGTACTACTTTGTTAACTTGATGCAATATTTCTTTCGCTTTATGACCCCAAAAATTATGATAGCATAAGCTTTTCAATAGTTAGTTCAAAATCCAAACTAAATGCAGTTGCAAATTTAATCAACAATAGACCTATTAGTCTTTTTATATTAGGTTAAGCAAAAAAACATTACTTATACATGGTGGTTGCATGAAAATCACACCAGAATGTGTATTATCTATAGTTATAATTAAGTGATAAATGACAGACACATATTATGAGCACATATTATGTACTTATCAATTCCCGATTAATCAGAAATTGATGTGTAGACGAGATTCTTGCGCAACGCTTCACAGCTTGCTTGGATGGTTGATATACACCGTTTCACAATATATCGTATCGTATCGTATTATATTGTACTGTATCGTTTGATGAATATAATGTTAGGATAGATTGTATCGTTTGTTGTTGTTTTATGATATCACACAACAGTAATATAAAGAATTAACATGCAATATTATAAAGAAAAATTATGATACGGGGTAAATTTATTATATAAAAAAAAGGGTAAATGATAAAATAAAATTATTTAAATGAAGGGTGAGATGAGAGAAAAAGACAAGATAAGGACGCAACCACACCAAATCGGTTGTTACATAAAGTGACACATTTCGTTATTACGTAACGACGTATTTAACGATAAGATACAATAAAATTTAAGTAACAACCAAAACAAACATCTTATTTAAAGTAACAATATGATACAATACAATAGGTAACAACCATCCAAACAAGCTTTGTAAGGAAATTATTAGATTGATAATTATAGAATTGCTCTTTTTTCACATCTTCTTCTTCAATAGAAACAACTCTTGACTAGGAAAGTAACTAGAATTAGCAAGAGAATTTGAAAAGGGAACTTGACCATTGACCAATAATTCCTCTTATTCCTTTTCTTTTCTTTCAAATTCTTAATCGCTGGAAATGTTTAGTCGTCTTGAGTAATTAGACCTTCACTAACTTGACCAACACACATAAAGACCAAATAACGAGCTATTAGAGGATTAAAGACCTTTGAGTAGTCAGAAAAATTTAAACAAGGCAATTAATATCGCATAATTTAATTAGGGGGAATTGAAGTTTTCAACTGGTCAATTAATGAAAATACATAAAAATAAAAATAAAAATCTTGGTCGATTTTATTTGATAATTATAGTCTCACCTAATAAAATTTTTATTTGCACTCGATGTTTACTTTTGACGATCCATTCAACTATCGTCACATCCATCATTAGAGCCTTAGAGGAATAAAGCTTTTATATATAGAGAGATGTTTGTGTTAATATTAAAATAATGTAACATATATGAGAAGTAAATAGTGAGAAGTTATGGTGTTAACACTAAAAATCTGGATCCAGCTTGCACTTTTTCCAACCTAAAACACGCTTCAGTAGTTAAATTTTCACCATCAATTAACATTACGTTGCAGTTGCAATGCAATAGCACAATAAACAAGTGCTTTCATACATATTGACAATTTGTTTTAATGGATATACAACTTTTTTGTCATTTTCCCTTTTTCTTTATTTTTTCCTTTTTTCTCTTAAACAAATAAACTTTTTTTAACAAAGGAATAGAAAAGGGAAGCATCCTTGACGAGATTTAAATTTACAATTAAGTAGAAAAAAAAAATGACAACCAGGTGGCCACGACTCTAATAGGTTTATTTAACCCTCTAAAATGATAGTGCATATCCATATTTTATTCGAAAAAAATGTATCCACCCAACCAAGATAATTAATATAATTTAGTATAAAAATCGGGTGTTAATAAAATATTTCCTATTCAATTTCGTAAAAGTTATACTAATTCCACTTAGTCGTAATGACATCTAACCCAACTCACTAGGTAAGACAAATAACAGCCAACACAACTCTAATGAAGATCATAAATAATCAATAAATAAAATAGTCGAGTTTCCATACAATAACTCAAGGATTGGTAATAAAAGTCATGAGCGACTAAAATTTAGATTTATAAATGCAATCCAGCAACCATTTCAACTAGATACCATTAAGAGAGCAAGAGAGGAGGAGCAAATGAAATTCTTTCGGAGTTCTTCCCCGCTGACGTCTAAGCTCTCAGGGACTCGGATTAGTCAACATGAATGAAATATAAGAAAGCTGGTAGCTCGAGCGAAGAGCGGAGCCTAACCCTATAGCTATAGGCTATATAATATTCTATTTTCTCTGCTTTGAATAGTTAGAATCAAACTCATTGCTCATTAGCGGCATATTTTCCATTTTCCCGGATATAAAAATTAGGTCACTAGCAATTATGGAATGAACTAACTTTTTATTCAATAGAAAGACTTCCTTGCAATATGTTCAACTTCAAACACCTACCCTTTATATATTTTCTTTCTTAGCCATCGTAATCCTTGTCGATGTGTAAATGATTTGACTATTAAAACAAGATTTCGGACCCTCTCAATTTAATTAATAAAATAAGATGGCTATGGTTTATTTATATAGTATTCTATTTTGCATAATGGTTGAGCCCCGTGCATGACTCCCCACCTAATTCAATTTGTCTTTAACCTACACATTTCTTATAACATTTTAGAAAATGACTATTAGTAAAGTACAAGATCTAAATATCTATAGAATTAGGAAAATTATACTTTTATATATTGTAAGTTTTAATGCCACTATACAACGAGCATAATAAGAACTTCGAAGAATAATCTTCTTCTTTGTAAAAAAAAAAAAAAAAAAGAGAGGAAAAAGTAGTTACTAATAAAACTCGTGAAATAGTTAAATTTGAAAAGTATTGTTTTCCTACATAATTAACACGAAAGACAAGAAGACTCAACCGAATATTAACAATTAAGAAGTTAATATGTATGGTTGTATTATATATATTAAGTCCCCGTTTGTCCATAAAAAAATTTCTCTTTTTCAAATTTTTTTTTCTTTCAAAAATGGGTTTGTCTGTGAAATTTTGAAAGTTTTTTTGGAACTTTTTCAAAAATGAGTTTTTCAAACATTTTTCACCACTCATAAAACTACAATATTTTTTCAAGTAAAATGCATGTCCAAACATAATTTAAAATTTTAATTTTTTTTTCAACTTAATTTCAAATACTATTTTTTTTCAAAATTTTTAATTTTTATGTCAAAATGCCTACTAATTATTAACTTGTGCCGACCACTAGAGTTACAATGTCTATATTAATTTATTTCCAACTGAGTTTTAGTGCTTGTAATTTCAGTTCATTGCAGTTGACTTCATACTACAAATTTGGACAATCAGAATTCATCTAGAAACTCAAAAAACCCAACATTTTAAACATTAAAATTTCCAATTTATCACAGAATTCAAATCCCCCTCAGCTTAATTCTCCTCTCAAATACCCATATTCTCACTTTCCAATTTCTCATTTTTGTAAAGAAAATGGAAACCACAGAGCTTAACCTGAAGATTAATCTCATAATCTTCTTTTTCTTCCTTAATCTTTTTCCAGTTTACTCTGTTGATGTTTGCAACCCAACTGTATGTTCAGAAGTGGGTATGGGACCGGAAATCCGGTTTCCTTTCCGGCTAAAAAACCGGCAACCGGACCGGTGTGGGTACCCCGGTTTTGATCTTTCATGTAATGAGAGAGGCCAAACAATTATAACACTTCCTTTTTCAGGTGATTTTCTAGTTATAGATATTGATTACACTGCACAATCTATTATACTTTATGATCCAGATTTCTGCCTTGTGAAAAGACTCATCGATTTCAATATTACGAATTCTCCCTTCAGAGCTGCTCATCAAAGAAATTACACAATTGTCAGGTAATTACAAATCTAGCACTTCTCAACTGTTTAATTGAATTTATTACTTTCAGCTCGTATAATTTTTTTAAAAAAAAAAAGAAGTTTCTTCTATAACAAGGAGAGGGGGATAAATGAGAACTGATCCACACCTATTGTATTTGTGCACGAGAGTAGATGCAGATCCAAGATTTAAAGTTTATAGGTTCAGAATACTATTGAAACGAGTTAACATTTGAGTTACTGAGTACGGAATTTAATAATTCTACATATTTAGTAGATTTTTTAACGCATACAATCAAAGCTACTAACTAGGTTAAGTCGAATCCAGTAACTTTAATGGTGCATCTAGCCCGTGTGACAGAATTTTGCTGGTATCACTAGATTGTAAGCTTTGATTAAGCTCATACAATAAACAAATATTATAATTTACTTTAAATTTTGTAATAATTACCGGGTTCAGTTGCATATTTTGAGAATTTTCTTTTTCTTTTTATTACAAAAATATAGATAAATATCAATGCATTTAGTTCAAACTATTGACTTTAGATTCTGAATTGGCGTATGTTGTTAGGTGTACTTCGGATGATTGGCTAAATTACCCAAATTATCAGGTGGCGATTCGGTTATCTTGCCGGGGATTTTCGAGCAGAAATCAGGCGATTTTAGCTATGCCACCAAATATGTATGCACAAGGAAAGCCACCAGGTTGCAAGTTAATGTCAAAGGTTTCAGTTCCTTTGCAATTGGAAGATAACTTTTGGTCTCCAATGGAGGGTCTTTTGCTAACTTGGAGTGAACCCAGTTGTAGGATTTGTGAAAATCAAGGGAAACTTTGTGGGTTTAAAAGTGATACTGGATCTGATATTGCTTGTTCTAATCCTCCCTCTTCTAAAGGTATGTTTTTCAGTCATTTTTCTGTTACTCCTATTAGTATGTTCTTGGTGGATCAGTTTGTGCAATGTGGGCATTGTACTCTGTGTTAGAATGTTTGTACGTTATGCAAATGTGTGTGTGTGTGTGTGTTTATTCATCATTTAAGGTAGGGAGAAATTACAGGGAACACTCTCTCTCCGTTCCAGTTTATGTGAACTTATTTTCTTTTTTATTCGTTCCAAAAAGAATGACTCATTTCTAAATTTGAAAATACTTTAGCTTAAACTTCCGATTCTACCCTTAATGAGAAACTTTTATAACTACACAAATACTATGGACCTCTTTTTGACTTTTTTAGGACCACAAATTCTAAAAGTTTTCATTTTTTCTTAAAATTCGTACCCAGTCAAATAGGTTCAAATAAATTTCTTAAAATTCGTACCCAGTCAAATTGGTTCAAATAAATTGAAACAGATACGAATCTGAATTAATCAATGAGTGAATATCGAATATCAAATACAGTAGTAGTTATAAAAAAGGGTTATTCATCATTAATGTAAGTCCGGTTTTTGTCTCTTTTAACCCCTTTAAAAAATTAATTTTTTTAATAATGTTTGTACGTTATGCAAATCTGTGTGAGTGTGTGTAGGTTATTGGTCATTTTAAGTTATGGAGAAATTCCCAGTAGGGAGTTCCCCTCTAGGAACCTTACTCAACACAAATCTAAATTAATAGCTAGTGAATAGCAAATATTAGATAGTTATAAAAAAAGTTATTCATTATATGTAAGATCAATTTCTTTCTTTCTTTGAACCACTTTAAATATTGAATTTTAATAAACTTTGAAAAGATATAAGAAAGTGTTGAAAAGGGTACCAGAGAATTTCAATAAAGGAGGTGTTGGAATCAATTATTTATGAAGATATGCAAATACTTTATCATTTTGCTTTGATTTTGATTTCCTTTTTTTAACAAAAGCTCTTTCTAAAAAATTTAAATTGATTCTTGTTGGGGTTGTTGAACTTACATATGTGTTAGTATGTCACTTGTCCAGTGTCCCTATCAATAGTGTTGCATGGTCCATGTGCTTGTCATGTTACATCATCTATACTATTTTATAGTTGAGGAAAGGAAATATTAAGCAATTTGACAATTTTGGCTGTGGGGTCAAATAATTGTAGCTTACCTAATGAAAGTCGTAACTTGCTTTTGGCTGTTTATTGATCGAGATTGAGTCATGTATGAGGCTCTGATTTCACAAAGTTAAAAGTCTTAGCCATCCATATGCCACCGCACATAATATGTTATTTCTGGAAACCCCATTGACCCCTCAAAGCTACCATAAAATTCAGTTCCTACTACTAGGGGCGGTGGACGAGTGAGGATTGGCCGGGGAGAGTCGTCTCAAATATTGATACTATTTTATAAATAAGCCAATAAAAAAAAGACAAGTAGAAGCCAGTGAAAGTGAAAGAGGAGTAAGCAGGGTACGACGAAGCCCTAGGCCGACTCAACATTATTTGTGGCCTAAAGCGAAACTTAGAGGAAGCTTTAATCTTTTATTTTGATATATATATATATATATATATTTAATAGATTTTATTTTCTAATTATTTGAAATGCAAATTTATTCATAATTCCCTTTTTAATTTATAATATAATCAATCCATTTTATCTCACTTGACACATTATTGAAGATTTATCAATTTTAATTTTTAAAAACTTTGCAAAGACAGTTGTCACAGAAGGTATTAACATTATTTTAAATAATATAGGCATTTGAAAAAGAATTAATTTATTTTATCCCTTAATACTTTTAGTTTGAATTAGTCTAAGCCAACACTCTCATAATGACTATTTTCTTTTAAGAAACTTTCACGCTCAAGGCATTGTTTTTTTAGATTCTAATCATTTACTGATCTTAAAGTTTCACCACTAAATAGAATTCTTTTTTTAATATTCTCTGAATTTGTTAAAATATATTTTGAAGTGAAAAATGGTTGTATAAGAAGTAGAAATAATTAACTTAAAAAGATTTTTGAGATTTTGTCATTTTATTGTCAATATTATGGGCAAATTATTTTTAAACATGTTCTCGTTATTAAGGCATTGTGTTTTATATTCTTCTCAGATGCAATCAAATATAACAGTAACACTTTTAGTTTTGATTAATCTTCACTAAATCTACTAATTTCAATAAAATATCTCTTATTTGTGAAGTTTTGAGACCAAATAATCCATTTTGAATTTTTTATTTATAGAAAAAATCCACTATCCTATTACTTATAAGATTGGGGGCCCCAAAATATGAGGCCTAAAGCCGTCGCCTCACTTGCCTAGAGGGTGAGCCGGCCGTGTCTGCTACTTCCAACCAACACAAGTTTAGATAAATTTAGGTAGATCCTAAATCTTTTGTATTTACCAGAATTTGAACTCAGATCTCCCATCATTTTTCAGCCTTTTCTTTGAAAGCTAAGCCACTTCCTTTAATAGATTTCTTTACTTCAATGGCCATCTCAAATAAAGTGAGGTAGATATACAAGATTCATATAATTAATCGTAACTAATTTGGATTAACGTTTAGGTAATAACTTGAATATTGGATCCTTCGACCGTTGGGAAAACTCATGGTTTAACAATCGTTAGTATTCTTTGTGCAGGATTACCCAGGGGTGCCAAATATGGCATTATAATTGGAGTTGGAGTACCAGGTTTTGTATGCTTATTAGGATTAATAAGCTTTGCTTTTGGTAAGATCAAGGTTTATGCCCTCCGCCGTGATTTGAACTCTGATCTCCCTACCACCATTAATCTACAATTAGCAATCGCGACGACAGGTCTTAACAAGGCAACCATTGATTCCTATCCCAAGATCGTGCTCGGGGAAAGCAAGCGCCTTCCTAACCCCAACGATGGCACATGTCCGATATGTCTATCAGATTACCAGCCTAAAGAAACCTTAAGAACCATACCAGAATGCAACCATTATTATCATGCTCAATGCATAGATGAATGGCTTAAGCTCAATGCTACTTGCCCCTTATGTCGAAATACGCCAGATGGTTCTTTACATCCTTGCTCATCATCAACTTCTTTGGTCTCATCTTCTCCATAGATCTCACAAAACTCTATTTTAATGTCTTTCATTGGGAATTTTTGTTGTATATAAGTTGTGATCTCGGTATTGTAAATGGAAAGAAAATAAAGCTTGTAGGATAGAATTCTTTTTTGGCATTGTTTGTTTAGAAAAGGAAGGGAAAGGAAAGGACAATTACGTTTTACAAACGAAGTGCTAGTATACATATCGCTTGTCCTCCTAAGTATAGGGTTGAAACTCGATATAGAAATGGATGATTATGTTCTCTACAGTAAAAAATCCACTTGTTGCTCCTTTTTTTCTCCTTGTTCTTAACTCGTAGTATTTGCTTAATAGTGGTACATAGTTTCTACATAAAAAGCAATGCCTTGACCTCAATAGCTGTCCCGAAACAGTCTAACTGGATTGTTAGGAAAATAATCGAAGCAATGAAATGGTTTCCAAATGTGGATGCTCGAGCAGAACTACAACACTATTATATAAGAAATGCGAGACGACTTCAAAGCCACAAAAGAGAAATAGCTCATAGAATCAGAGAAATTGTACTACAACTACATATTAGAGGACAACAAAATCGCCATTGGAGCAAGTTGTTAAGTAGTTTAAATTGTTTTCCTATCTTGATGTAATACGATACAAGGCTTAGTTTGTCTTCATAGATAGATAGATAGGTAAGAAATAGTTGTCTTTTGGAGCGCTAGTTCGAGAGTCAAAAAGAACTAGCTGATGTACATTATTATACCTGGTTGAATAAAAAATTAATTCAGTTTGACCAAAAAAAAAAAGTATTCGCTTAATAGTTATAATTACAAGCGCACAATTTTGTAATCCTTAATTACACTTCTTATTGACTTATTTACTAGTAAGTAGTAATTACAAGCGAAGGTACATTGTATTCTTTATAAATAACTATAAAATCAGTTCCTAATTAGCATTACACGCTAAAAAATTAAAATATCTATACTTGAAGTTTCTTAACCAATCGATTTCAAATTGATAAAACTAGTTTCCTTAATAAAGGACAATATGACCAATTTTTGCAGTTATATCGGATTTAGATTACTTATTTTGAAAATAAACTAGTATCTGGGCACGCGCGCGCGTGTATTCTATATTAATGAACATAATTTTTTTAAAATTAAATAAATATTGTTAAAGAATATTTTTGTGTTATAAATTAAAAGTTAAAGGAAAAAATTCAAGTTCCTGAAAATGGTAAATTTTAATCTTATTTAGCTAACAAAGAAACCATCCCCAATAGAAATCCTCGAAAATAGATGTAATGAAATTAATCCATCATGTGTTATATCGTTAGTACGTAGATCATCTTATGTACAAATTTCTTTCATTCTATGCTCCATGTGTATGTTGGCTCAAAAGTCGACAAAATTTCTATACATGTTCGATAACACAAAAAGATAAAAGAAGAAAATACGTACACACACAAAAATACAATCTTGACGTACAAGTTTCAACAAATACGAAGCAAAAAAGTATGAGTTGTGCAATGAAAATAATGTTAAAAATAACGAAAAAATAAAGAGAAACATGCACGGTGCTATAGTTCTTTTGCACGGTGCTATATGAGATAAAAACATATAATGCACTACCCCCGACCATCCTTCTTGACTTTTCTATTTTAGACGTACTTATGACACAAATTTTGACCATTTGCAAAATTGTTATTTCTTTACTGTACACTATATATATATATATATATATATATATATATTGTAGCAGAAAGAAGAGGATGTCGACCAAGGGCATAATGATCATTTCAAATATATTAGTGCATTGTTTGCTTGTATACTAGGCTCAAAAATTTGGTTGTGGGTTTTTAATAACAAGAAAAGCCAAAACTAACGTGGTCATAAGCTATTAAATTTTTTAGATGGACCCACTTTCCATTCAACCATCACTATCTTCATTAAATTGATTACTTGATTGTTATTATTATTTTTTCAATAAGTACTTTTAACTAGAAAAATTATCTTTTTGGTAATTTTATAATTCAAATGTTCATTTGATTAAAATTACTATGGTAACATACATTTATATATGACAATTCTATTATCTCCTTAAGAAATATTATTTCATTTATTTTATTTATTAACTATTTCAGGTAAAGAAGATTTTATTAAAAAATATTTTAATGATAATTTATGTAGATTTACATTCAGATGTTCTCATATTATTATCAATTGATATCATTTTATACAAAGTTCTCATTAAATTGTAATTTCAATTGGAATACTTTAAAAAATTAGGGAAAAAATATTTAAGAATAAAATATAGTTTCAAGTCCCCTTTTTTGCTATAGAATATTGAAATTTGTTCAAATTGTATATAAGTATCCCCTCTCTAAAATGTGATTTGAGAATATCTGAAGTAAAACTTAAGACAATTAATTTATGAATTTTTTTTCTTTTAAAAATTATTATATATTAGGAAGTATGAGAAGTATCGTCATGCAGGATCATACTTCTCCCTCTATGATGGAAGTTAGTTGGGTACTTCCTCTATTCAATAATAATTCAACATTATATAAATTTCAAAATACATAAATATATAATTAATTATTTTAAACAAATCTCAACAAATAACTATTGTGATGAAAATTGTATTATACCCTAAATAGTATCTCAATCATATCAAATGAAACTAAAAAAAACTGCAATATTTTAATTTAAGGTCAATTTGATTAGTATTTAGAGGGATCGAGAGATTAATTTATTTTTAATATTATGTCATTAAACTAGAACAAAATACAAATTTTCTTGAAAAAATTCTTAATAATAAAAATCACGATTATTATTTCAAAGAACCAAAAAATACCTTTTCATCAACTATTTGGGAATAAAAATTAATATGTTTTATTATTCAAATTTTGATTAGTATAAAAAGAAAAAGTAATACATTAACACAACTGAAAATACTAAAAGAATAAAACTATATATCATTCAACTTAAACAATGCGAAAAATACATCACGACTTATTTTTCAACTGACTTTTTAATCATTATTTTATAGTAATTAATTTTAAATTTGGTGGTGCAAAAATATTTTAAAATAAAAAAGTGTAGACCCTATGTAAAAATAATTTAAATTGTACTTGAATTATTATCTAATCATTGTATAATAAAGTATCAAACTTCGACAAGTATTACAAAGTGATTGGTACAGTAATACGATTTCAGGGGAAAAAAATGCACATAATGTAAAAGATAAATAACAATACAGGTAATCGTGGTTCTAGACGTTATTACANATATATATATATATATGGGACGTAGCCTCTACAAAATGCCTTCATCCAGTATTTTAGAATAAATTCCACCTCTAATTTTTTTTCCTGTGTTGACGGCTAGTAGCTGTCAAATAAAAGCATGAATGGATACTAATATATATTATACTAGACAGATGAAGGTTGCGGGTCCAACATATTAAGCCTTCTGCTTGGAATACTGCTTCATTTATAGATAAGAAATTGGACTATCATAACCAGTAGTTTTTTGACACATCATACAAAATAGTAAGATGGTACAATATCTGCACATAAAAAGAATGTACAAAGCTACCAATATCCAGTACCACAAGTAACGATTACAACCAGGTAGTTACCATGTCTGGAAAATTAAAATGTGCTTGCAAATGTGCCAAGTAAATAATGTAGAATTGACCAAAAAATGATTAAACTTCAGGAAATGCAGGATTATTTTTAATAATCTGTACTAACACCCTTATGAAAGACAATAAGGGTAATGCAGTATGCGTTTACCACTACATTAGATTTAACAAGCGAGGGCTAATTTTTACATCAACAAATATCCATCATACAAGAAACTTAAAAGAAAGAGTTATTAGGAAGGACTGGACAGTCCGTGTCTATCCACCAGTCCCAACAAAACGGCACCAGCTACTTAGAGAAAGCATCAACGAACAACAAACAGAGATGTAACAAGCTAATGTATATGATCTTCTCATTTAAGATGCATCATCAGATAACCCAAAGGACAGTAACAACCAGCTTCTTTCTTTAGCATGCTCCACATAAAACGTGAATTTATCCTTTGCATTCGGAATGTCAAGAGCCAGATCATCAAGCCCATCCTTGATCCTCCGAAAGCCTTTAGTCATCTGGTTGATGGTGATAAGCCGCACACTTGCAGCAAATCCAGTATCCTCTCATTCTTCTTCTCGATTGCCATAACCAAAGCTTTCTTCACTACCTCATGATTGAAGAATGGCATTCCGATCTCGTATGCACTGGCAAGCTTCACTGAGAACACCACTACTTTCAAATTCCTCAAGGAGCTTTTGTATCTTATCCTTAGCATCCTCCACAGCCATCCAGTCCCACCACCCCAACACCTTAGGATCCTTTCTCCAGCATGCTGTGCAAATAGAAGTGATCGAGCCATACAGACGGTCTCCAATCCACTGCTGCAATTTGGTGGCAGCCTGTTGGCGAACACTCTTCTAAATTCAGTGGAACAAGGACATCATCTATTACGGCCCTAGCAAGGAAAAACAAGGAAAGGAAATGGCATCTGTTTTGCTTTATGCACTTCATATTAAGATTTTTTTCAACTGAAGACATAGTAAATGGATTTGTGATGCTACTGGAATCTGCACAAGATACAGCACTTGACATTTTAGATGCTTCCACTATAAACCAGCAGGATATATAGTTTAAGTGATCCTTTCCCCTAAAACAAAGCTTGGGACTTGTAGACCTGAAGAGCTGAGGAAGGCAATGCAAATGATATTGCTTTTTCAAATATTAAAATACCAATCTTTAAGAATAGGCAATTTGTAAGGATTTGAGGTATCTTTGGATTACCTGAAAATCTTGAAATTGTCTCCACTATATCTACATCAATTTGGACTACTTGAAAATCTTAAAATTGTCCCCTACATCTAAAGCAATCTTAAACTCTACTGTGAGATATGTATGTTTTTTCTCATTAATAAATAGAATTGTAAAAAAATGAAACATCCCCACAATGAAAAACACAAATCCATGAAATATGAAAAACAAATAACAGTTGTACCTATTTAGAGTAATGCAAAGTAAATGTAGAGTACAACGTATCTGCACAAGTGAAACACAAATTCACTAATAAAAAAAAATTCCAAGTAAAGAAGCATGAGGAGTAGCTAATTACACTCTCGAGTATCAGAAAGCAGAAATCCCCTAACGGCTAGTCAGAAATAAAAATTGTCGAGTTCACTAAAAAAAAAAAAGATGAGTCAGGCATATCATCAAACACTTGAGTGCATAGTCCATTTCAATGATTATTATTAATAATCACATTTTGAAAATAAAAAAGGAGAGAAAGGGAAAGAACTGCAGAAAAATATATATTTGCACTTCATTTTTTCCCATCAGAGAAGAGATTCTCAAGCTGAATAGTAATCATACCAGGCGTATATTGGCGGTAACCACAGATCAACCATTCTCCCTTTTTCCTTGTTCTGTTGTTCGTCTCTCATTTCAGAAGGTTGAGCATCTATGTAAATCTGAAATAGGGCAACGTCAAACAATTTTTTTCTCTAAAACATAAATGTCAACCAAATCAGGAGCGGAGATGAAGCTTCGTAGTACAAATCAGTGAAGTAAATTGATATTAAGTGATTACCTTGATGCAACAAAGTTAGAGCAAAGAAGCCCAAACCCCAATTTATCTTGAGCTTCCACAAACGGAGTTAATTAATTTGAGTTATGTATGTAAACGTAGTGCAAAATCCATGGACCAAATTTGAGTTGAAGAGTGAAATCATAGAAAATTCAATGTTGTATTTATTTAGTATCAGAAATGACTTCTCATATGTGTAATTATGAAGATGAATTTGGTCTTTCTAACTACTGAATGTAACAACTCAAATTCTCCACCTTTTGAGAGGAACAAAGAGAGCTACTTTAATGTACCGTTTTTTTTAATTTAATTTATTAGAATGTATAATTCCATCTTTGTACAAAAAATGCTCATATTCTTAAATACCGTGTAGTCTGCTTGTAGAACCCTATTGATTTACTTAAACCTTTCCATGCTTGCTAATAAAATATATCTTTTCTTATGATGGAGATTAAAGCACAATAATTATATCTTTGTAAATTTTTTTAACAAATAACAAATATCTTGCCAGTAAAAAGAAAAGGAAAGATATATGTATGATCAATACGTGCGATACTCTTAATTATATAAAGTAAGTACAATTGACTAAAAGTACAACTATAATATTTAAATAAGAAAAGCAAAACACTATGCGCTAGCTAGGCTAATGAAACATGAAAATCACTAGCAGTGATATAATTTTATTTTTGTTTTTTGTCTCAGACGCCTTATGCTCTACCAAGAAGAATAAAATATTTTGTGCCATGACCATAAGCATCTTCTTCCTCAACAATTAATGCTCCCTTGCAATAAGAATGACAAATCCTGAAAAAATCCACCAAAACTCTAAGGGGTCGTTTGGTTGGGAATTATTTCGGGATTAGTTATCACACCCTCCCACGTGGATAAAAAAATATTAAAATCACGGGATAACTAATCTCGGGATTAGTTATCACACCCTCCCACGTGGATAAAAAAATATTAAAATCACGGGATAACTAATCTCGGGATTAGTTATCACACCCTTTCATGTGGATAAAAGAATATTAAAATCGCGGGATAACTAATCTCGAAATTAATTATATCACGATTTTATCCCAACCAAACGTGAGATAAACTCATTTTAAATTTAATCCCGATATTAATTATCCCTTATCCCGTACCAAACGAGCCTTAAGAGCATGTTCAACAGCCTTAACCATTTAACCTTAGACACACTGTCTTGTCCCATGAGAATATTTGATAACCAGAAGGAAGTTTTAAAGCTTAAAAAGATGGAAAGTTTTAAATATTTGAAATATTTGAACAGACCTTTGATCCTAAAATGAAACCCTTCCTTGATTTATATACTCCCTCCGTTTCATGTTATCAGTCGTGGTTGCTAAAAATAATTGTCTCAAATTATTTGTCACTTTAGAAGTTCAAGACAAAATTGATTATTTTTTTCTTTTTTTACCTTAGTAATAATTATCCTTGAAGACTACATACATCTAAGTTTGTTCAAATACTAATGAAGAAAGATTAAATATTAAGACATAAATAAGGGTAAAGTAATCAAAATCTCATCCTGATTAATTTTTCTTAAGGGCGTGTACAAAAGAATCATGACATATAATATGAGAGGGAGGGAGTAGTTCTTTCTTAACTGGTGTCTCTCGAGCTTCCTTCACACGTTATTAATTGAAATATTATTGTATACGGTCAAAACTGATTTCGGCCTCCGTACGACTGGTCGATATGAGAACATAATGGACCGAAGAAAGTCTTCATAATATCGAGACGAGATCCGAAGAAGGCACAAACGAGCTTCGAGTTTCAGGGACAGATCAATTACCGAGCTCGAAGTCATTATCAAGCTCGAATCCAAATCGAACTATGATGAGAAGCGATGGAATCGAGCTTAAAAGCCAGAGGCTAACCAATACCGAGCCCGAGTCAATACCGGACCCCGAGTTAATATCGAGCTCGAGCCCATATCGAGCTCTAAACTTGAAAACCGACCGATACCAAGTCCGATCAAGATCAAGCCAAGAGACAAGAGCTGTTACAGCCGCACTAAGAAAGGGAATCTCGGCGGAAATTAGAAAAAACTGATTTATCATGGGCTCCCTACTATGTATTTTTTATTTTCAAAGTAGGATCCCTCCACTATAAGAGAGATTATTCCTGCAAGGGGGATCAGGTCATTAATACACTATAACTCAAATACTGTTGATACATTCCCATATTAAGAGATTATCCTTTTGAGCTTCACACATAATTTTATTTTGCTTGTTCATAAATCATCTTCCTTTCAACTCGGTTTGTATCTTTTCTTTATAGTCAATATTTGATATTTCCACTTACTCTTATGATTTGTGTCAAATTATACCACGTACCCTTAGAACTACGTATAAATTCAACTCTATCCGTTTTTCGGGTAAACGGTTTGGCGCCCACCGTAGGGCTAAGGATAACAGTGGTTATTTGATACGAATCTGAAAAACACACTATTTTATGCTTGTTTTCGGAAGTGTCTTTGATTTCGGATTAGCAACGATGAGCTCTCAATTAAATAGCCTTACTAACGACAACAAAGCTGGCCTTCAAGGTGAGAACAACAACTTGACGCCCTAGGCCGAAAGGCCGTTTGTCGACGTCGTTGGAGCCCAAATCGAAGTGCCATTAGACGTTAATTTTCATGTGGTCATTGAGGCAAACCTACGTTCTGAACCTAAAAATAACATTCATGGTGGTACTCGATCTGCAGCTCGAGATACCCATAACGTTGAGGAAAACAGAATCAACTTGCGTATGATTTTCGAAATATTGCAAGTTCAACAGGCAGCAATAGTTCAGTTGCGAGTCAAACCCAGATACCGAGCAGGCCGAAGCCCAGTCCACCCCGAGAAGTCACCCACAGAACAGAACCACCTATAGTAAGGTCAAATGAGCAAGAATCGGGGGCTAATCCCGAAATTGCTAAGATGTTTGAAGAACTAACCAAACGAATAGAATCAGGAGAAAGGAGGATCGAGGAAAACGACAAAAAGGTGGAAACATATAAATCCAGGGTTGATCAGATCCTGGGGGCACCACCGATATTGAAGGTCTTAGATTCCAAAAAATTCGTACAAAAGTCTTTCCCCCCAAGCGCGACTCCTAAATCGATTCCAAAGAAGTTCCGCATGCCCGAGATTCCTAAATATAATGGAACTACTGACCCCAACGAACATGTCACCTCTTACACATATGCCATTAAAGGGAACGATCTAGAGGACGATGAAATCGAATCCGTATTATTGAAAAAATTTGGTGAAACCCTGTCAAAGGGAGCAATGATATGGTATCATAATTTACCATCTAATTCTATCGATTCTTTTGCTGTGCTTGTAGATTCTTTCGTAAAAGCACACGCTGGGGCCATAAAGGTTGAGACCAGGAAGTCGAACCTGTTCAAGGTAAGACAAAAGGATAACGAGATGTTAAGGGAGTTCGTATCTCGTTTCCAAATGGAACGAATGGATCTACCACCAGTCATAGACGATTGGACTGTTCAGGATTTCACTCAAGGTTTGAACGAACGAAATTCGATGGCTTCACGGCGGTTGAAGCATAACCTGATCGAGTACCCAGCTATTACTTGGGTCGACGTGCATAATCGGTATCAATCGGAAATTAGAGTCGAATACGATCAGTTGGGTTCTGGACCTGCTTTTAGAAGGGTCATCAATCGAGAACAAGGGTCGATCAGGGACCGATACCGACCATATAGTGGAGACCATAGGGGGAATGAATCGAGATTTAACCCCAGACAAGGCAATAAAAGAAATGATCGAGGTCAAGGGTCTCGGGGGCTGATGAACATAAATGGGTTTGATAAGCATACCGGACCTAAGGAAGCACCACAGTTATCGGAGTATAACTTCAGCATCGATGCATCCGCCATCGTATCGTCTATCGGGCGCATCAAAGACACTAAATGGCCTCGACCCATGCAGACCGATCCTGCCCAGAGGAACCCCAATCAAATGTGTGAATATCATGGCATCCATGGCCACAGAACCGAAGATTACAGGCAACTAAGAGAGGAGGTAGCATGGTTATTCAATAAAGGGCACCTTCGAGAATGTTTAAGCGACATGGCCAAAAACCATTTCAAAAATAGGGATTTCGGTAGGCAAAATGAATAGGAAGAACCACAGCACATCATCCACATGATCATCGGTGGTGTCGATACCCCTCAAGGGCCGGTGCTTAAACGCACTGGGACATCGGTTATGAGAGAGAAGCGACCTTGAACTCAGGATTACGCACCCATAGGAACCCTGTCCTTTAATGATGAAGATGCAGAAGGAGTCATGCAACCTCACAACGATGCATTGGTAATATCCGTACTTATGAATAAAACTAAAGTTAAGCGTGTATTAATTAATCCAGGTAGCTCGGCCAATATTATCAGATCGAAGGTCGTAGAACAGCTCGGTCTACAGGACCATGTCGTACCCGCAACCCTGGTTCTAAACGGATTCAATATGGAATGTGAAACTACCAAAGGCGAGATAATTCTACCGATAAACGTGGCCGGGGCCATCCAAGAAACGAAGTTCCACGTAATCGAATGTGATATGAGGTACAGCGCCCTTTTTGGAAGGCCATGGATCCACAATATGAGAGCTATACCTTCGACCTTCCACCAGGTTCTTAAATTGTCAACATCGGAGGGAGTCAAAATAATGTACGGGGAACAACCGACCGCAAGAGAAATATTTGCCATCTAAGAAGCAATTCCAATATCCTCGCCTTCGTCAACAAAGGGGTCGGACTCGAAGGGGGAACATGATGCCAAATAGCAATCACAGACGTCTGCTTCGCCCCAACTAGAAAATCAGAAGATTGACGAAGATGATGAGCGAGGGATCCCTCGATCCTTCGTGGTCCCCGATGATTCTGACGCTACCCAATCAACGGTTGAAGAGTTAGAGCAAGTCATACTAGTCGAATATCTGCCCGAACGAAAGGTATACCTGGGAACGGGATTAACCCCCGAACTCAGGAAAAAGCTTATTCAATTTCTTATTGATAACATAGATTGTTTCGCTTGGTCCCATTTAGACATGACAGGGATCCCACCAGAGATAACGACGCATCGGCTCGATGAAGCAAAAGAGAAGACCCCAGTCCGAGGTAAAACACGCATTTATAAAGGACGAGGTAACTAAACTTCTCAAAATAGGGTCCATTCGGGAGGTGAAA